TATTCAATATTTAATTTACCTCTGCAGGTTATAAAAAATGGGGAGATGCTGGGAGTGTCACATTTGAGAAACCGAAGGGTTCTATCAAATGGTTTCATTTCCCTGGGGAAAGAGAATTTGCAGGTTACTCTCTCTCTCTCTCTCTCTCTCGCGCGCGCACACACAGATGGCTATATGTGAATTTACACTCATAGCTGCTAATTATCTGAAAAGATTTTTGCTAATATATTCTGAATACTGCAGCTGATGTACAGTGATGGTGACAAAGCATTTGGAACAGCTAGTGAACTATGTGTTGACGAGAGGATGAGAATTGCATCTGATGGTATTATAGTGGTCAGGTACATTATTTACTACTGCTGCAAAACCTAATTTCCGAACTTTGTGCCTGTATATTGACATTCTCACATCTATTGTGCAGTATGGAAATTTTGCGCCCCCAAGCTATAAATGGTTCTGTCGAAATGGCTCTAAAAGGAAAAATAAGAATTACCACACGTTGCTTATGGCTTGACAAAGGAAAACTTTTGGATGCACTTCATAAAGCTGCACATGCTGCACTATCAAGCTGTCCTGTCAATTGCCCTCTGGCCCACATGGAAAGAACTGTTTCCGAAGTTTTGAGAAAGATGGTCAGAAAGTACAGTAGCAAAAGACCCGAAGTTATAACTATTGCTATTGAAAATCCAGACGCTGTTCTTGCCGATGAGATTAATGGAAAACTATCTGGAAAGTCACATGTTGGTTTTGGGATTCCAGCATTGAGAAAAGCAGTTGATGGACATCAAAAGAACAGACAACTTACTGCCACACTAGAGGAAGATGGCAATGGAATTGCACTAGTGAGAAGTACCACAGAACAAGAATTACAAGGTTATGTTTGATTCTTGCAAAAATTTCTCAATTCTCTTCAATTTCCCAAATTATGGTAAATAGATAGCCCTACTTATTAAATATCAGGGTTTGAAATTGATAATCTGTGCATGTATGTAGACAAAGTGTGTGGTCAGAAAGTAGACAGGAAAAATGGTTTCTAACTGTTCTAACGGTAACTTTTCTGAAAAAAGTGTATTATAATATCTTGGCTGAGTTTCTTTAACATGGTGTGATATCATGGGCATTATGCTGTTTATGAGTTTCAAAAGAAAATATCAAAACAATATTGATGTAAACCTTTAATGAGCAATGATCTGCTAAATACCGGTACTTAACTTATGCTATGCACCAATGACATGTCCCATCAATCAATCGCTGCTTAGCATATGCTAAGCTTGGTGCTTAGTAATCATTTCTCAACCTTTAATTTAGATTAGCCTATTTGAGCTTAATTATGTGAGTTGGTAAATTATATTCACATCACTAGGTGTACTAGCTACATAATTATTTTGGCTTTGTGGTAGTTTGCATATGATCTGCTAGCTGTACCAGAAAGGGACAGGATGGACTTTCAGTGTTCTCTTCTCCACAGTTTGTTTAGGGGTTAAGTGAAATATAACAAAAAAGAGTGTAGAGATCTTAGGCCTTGTTTGATAGGGCAAGTTTGGGCTTTGCATTATTTCACTTGAGTTTAATCCACAATGTAGAGATCTTAGGCCTTGTTTGATAGGGCAAGTTTTCCATGGAAGATGGAAAACTTTTTGCCATTCTCCACTTTTTAGTGTTTTGGTAGGAAATATGTTTCAGATAATTGATTTTCCACATTTTCTTGCTTTTTGAGGTAAATCAATTCCCACCACTTTGGTGGGAATTGATTTTCTAGGCAGTTTTTATTTATTTATTTTTTTGGCAATGGAAACAAATTATATTCTCAATTGCAACAAATTATATCCTTTTAATGGACAATTTTTATGGAAAATAAAGCCAAACGAACACCAAAAGATCCAAATTTCAATATTTTTCAGGTGAAAAATTATACCAATCAAACATAATTAATTGACAATTCTCAGTAAAACAAGTTCTAGGCAATTCAATAATTCATTTTCTTTCCACCCAAATTTCATTCTTACAATCAAGCGGACTCTTAGAGCATTTTGGCAAAAAAATGTTGGTCTAATAAGTTGGGGACTCACAAATTGTGTGGACCAAAATTTATAAGCTAGATAAGTTGGGAATTTTGAACTTATTGGATTTTGGTTCACACAATTTGTGGATCCCCAGCTTGTAGATAGAAACCTTTTTTTCCCAAACGTGCTCTTAGTGCTCAACTTCAGTGCCAGCCTCTAGTGACCGGTCAAATTTATGGTTAGTTGAATAGGCCTCCAATATTTTTCGTACAGAATAGAATATTATTTGTCTTGGACCATTAAGATCACCAAATTAATCAATATATGTTGTATCTGATCAAGTGATCATAATGTAATCTTTTATATTCTAGTGCCTTTATAAATTTTTAGGCACATCAAACTAGATTCCACGATGTGATCATATTACTAATTCATTGAAACTGTTCTTCGTACTTTCTTCTTTGTGCAGTTCATGACATTGACAATGAGAGACTTCTAGAAGAGGAAGAAACCTCATCAAGTTCTGAACCAGAAAAATCTCCCGATGGTGACAATTCGGATGATTTTTGGAAGTCATTTGTTGTACCATCCGTGGTTAATCAACCAGAAGGTAACAGCGATTTACTTCCAGAGCAGGATCAAAACGAGGTGGTCAAAGCGGAAAGCAGTCAACTTGATTCCAGCACGCCAAAATCTAGATTAAAACCCAAGACTGCAAAACGGAACAAATGGAAACCTGAAGAGGTTAAGAAGCTAATTGAATTGCGCGGGGAACTCCACAGCAGATTTCAAGTTCTCAGGGGACGGATGGCCCTTTGGGAAGAGATATCTTCAGATTTGTTATCTGATGGAATTACTAGAAGTGCAGGACAATGCAAATCTTTGTGGACGTCTCTCATTCAGAAATACGAGGTTCGTTTTTTTTTTTTTTTTTAATCTCTAGCTTAGAAGTTAAAACAACGTGTCCTAAATTTTTAGATTCTTTTATTTGGCATGTTCATCCACATACTTGGTAGAGGCTTTATCTGCCAAATTGAGCTCGTCATTCTTCTCAATGATTATAGTTATATGCATGTCTGTTAGTCTGTATATATGTATGTTAATAATACACTTCGAATATACCTATCAAAAAAATAATACACTTCGAATATGTTCGGCGTAGAATGCTTCCTGAATTCGACAATGATTTGATTGTTACGTATATGACCTTTCCGATTCTGTTAAATAGGAATGTTTATATTAAGGGCCTTTTTGGGATGACTTTTGCTATTTGTAGAAGACCTTCTTGGGGCCAGCTTCTTCTAAAACTTCTTCTAATCGGACATCACTTCCCAAAAAATTACCCAAATAGGTCCAAATGGAGCTTCTAGTTTTTGAAAAGCCATGCCAGACACCCTAAAGTGGACACCCTTGTTCTACCAACCATCCATTGTAATGCGAGAGGGCCAAGGGATCGTCTTGATTACAATATCCTCCTTTCATGTCGTCAGTTGTGTATTTTTCTTTGTTTTTCCCTAGTCGACACAAGTTAACGAGGAAAGACCCAAATTCTGAACGGCTAAAGCAGCCAGAACGTGCTTTTATAGTAGAACCGCCCAAATAAGTATTTATGTTTACGTGCCCTTAATACACTTTTTAGAAATCATGTTTGTCACATCGAATTTCTTCATTTGATGATTTGTAACTCCGGCACCTACTTTTGTTTTGAGCAGGAATGTAAGAATGATATGAAAAGTCGAAAGACCTGGCCGTATTTTGATGACATGGACAAGATTTTATCAGATTTGGAGACGACAGTGCCCAAATGATCGGACTATGATTCACAGACAGCCTTCGGGAAGCAAAGAATCAAAAGAGTCGAGGGCGAAATAGTAAAGTGAACCTCGTGGAGCAGTGCGAAATTACGAGAGATGACGATAGGAAAATGGAAAAAGGTTCAAGAGTACTCTATTTTTGAAGATTTATTTTCAAGAAGTCAAAAAAAATCATTCAGAATATGCTCTTAAGGATGTTTCTGTGACCTGTATAATGTTATACAGAAAATGTGTGAAGGGAATCAATTTTGTAGACTAGCATGTTATATTTACTTTAAAATGATAGCGAATTTGTAATTATTTCATTAATTTCACTCGTCCTTGATTCTATTAAAAAGTCCAAATTTTGCCTGTCTTGTGCAGTTATATACATTATTGCATACTAAACACACCATTACAGTTAAATGGTAGAGAAAGTTAATAAAACAGTAAAAATAAAAATTATACGAGCACTTTCATTTTACTGTATAATTCTATACTAAAAAAAAATATGCATATAACCCTATGCCAAATAGTAACAGTTCTAAACTAGAAGCTTCTTGTATTTTGCCTGTCTCGAGGTGCAACACATTGCCATAAGGAACGGTATAGGGAATATTCGCAGCATCAACACCAAGGGAAGCAAGGTTGCGTGCGTACTCCTGAAATCATAGACAGTTGAGAGTAAGCCACTAATGATAAAAATGCCATCTGACCAAATCAACACTCTACCGATGTTGAAATTGTAAAGAATAAATTTAGTGCTTGTTTTGGGAGTGCTTAAATTATGATTTAAGCAGCGGGTCCCTCTGAATGTGTGTGATAAAAAATGAGTCATAAGTTGCAAGTCCACATGATGTAAAAATGAAGGGTGTTTGACCCGCTTAGATTATAAATTAAGCTTTGCCAAACGTGCATTTAGCTTAAGATCCTTTATAAAAATATTCAGTACGGTGTAAACCACTAATGATAAAATGCTATCCTATGGAATCAATACTCTCGACCAATGTTGAAATGGTAAAGATGATAAATTTAGTTTAAGATGTTTAAATGTTCAATATGAGGATTGGATAACAGTGTAAGAAAGCAAAAAAAAAGTGATAAAATCTTGTTCACTATATTGTCGAGTGACACTTAATGTCAAGATTTGTTCACTAGTGTCAAAGTGACACTTACCTGAATATCAAGAAATAACTGCATGCACATCTAGTCAGTATCAGACACACTATGGTCTGAGACATCTGTGCTTGCTGCAGCTCGTTTTTGAGCACCTAAACGTATTTTCTGAAGACAAGCCTCTGTTTTTCTGGCCTGTTATGGTAAGAAGTGTCAGTGTGGCAATGTCGTTACAGAAAGATAGCAGGAAGTTATTCTCACGAATAACTATAAAAAAGCTGAAACCAGCATTTTGGTAAAAACTACCTTTGGCTATCCAACTGCCGACGGAGCAAGTCTGTCAGCATGTTTGGCCAGGCTTAAAAAATTGAGCAAATCATGTTTTGGAGTTATTTATAAATGATTTTAACTATAAATAGATGGAAATAAGTGATGGATAAGTTGGTAGCACTTGTGAGTCCCATGACGTGGATAAAAAGTGGCTCGACCAATTACCAAACAAGGACTTAACAAAATTAGTATATTTAGAAAAAACATTTGTTTATTAGTCAAAAATGGAAAAAAGATAGATTACTTGTTTAGAACAGAAATGTAGGAGTTACTTTCTATTGGAACAACTACAAGTGAGATCGAATCAACAAGAATCAATCAACAATCTTAACAAATTGTTGTTAAGGAGTTGAAAAGATCCTGAGATATTAACTGTAATTTGTTAGGAAAGATATGACCTATTTGTTAGCTAATTTATCTGCATTTTGAATTTTGAATTGTATACATAATCTCGGTTCCGAGGCTGACAATTCTCTCCACACACTCCATTGAGGCCCCCTCCAACTATTTATTTTGATCTACGTCGATGATATCATCGTTACAGGCTCCAACTCAAAGGAAATAGATAATCTAATCTCAATGATTGGTCGTGAATTTCCCGTCAGAGATCTTGGAAATCTATCCTAATTTCTTGGCATAGAGGCACTCCGAGATGACAAAGACTTGTTCTTGACTTAGGGAAAATATACTGTAGATTTGTTAGCAAAGGTAAAATTGCAGCACGTCAAACCTTGCCTAACCCCAATGTCAACATTTTGTCATCTATCTAACTTTGAAGGGATTGATTTTGATAATCCTCAATTATATCGGAGCACGGTAGGGGCATTGCACTATTAGGGGTTCACTCGTCCTGATATTGCATATGCAATGCATTGTGTTAGCAAGTTTATGATTCAACCAAAGGACACTCATTGGCAAGCAGTAAAGCGGATACTTCGCTACCTGAAGCATACAGTTAATTAAGGAATTCGCTTCACACACAATTCAACTCGTTCTTTACATGGTTTTAGTGATGCAGACTGGGCCGGTGATAGCGATGACAGACGAAGCGTGGGAGTATATTGTATTTTTCATGGGCAAAACTTGATCTCATGGAGCAGCAAACAACAACTCATTGTTGCTCGCAGTAGTACTGAATCAGAGTATAAGGCTCTCTCAAACACAGCAGTAGAGCTTCAATGGTTACAATCAGTCTTATGTGATATTCGAATGCCATTGTCCACGTGTCCTACACTTTGGTGTGACAATATTGGAGCAACTTATCTGTCATCAAATTCAGCATTTCACGCTTGAACCAAACACATCGAAATTGACTTTCATTTTGTTCATGATCAAGTCTTATAAAAAAGATTGAAAGTTTCATTCTTATCTACTAAAGATCAAATTGCAGATTTATTAACAAAACCACTAGCTTCAGTTCGTTTTGGTATGCTACGTGACAACCTTCATGTGTAGGAGCTGCCCCTTCTGTTGAGGGGGCATATTGGAACAACTACAAGTGAGATCGAATCAACAAGTATCAATCAACAATCTTAACAAATTGTTGTTACCTAAGATATTAACTGTAATTTGTTAGGAAAGATATGACCTATTTGTTAGCTAATTTATCTGCATTTTGAATTGTACACATAATCTGGTAATCAGTTATTTGCAATGTACTCTAAATATCCATACGATGTATTCAGTGAAATGTGACTAGAAAATTTAAATATATTCTTCTTCATATATGCTTTGAACTCTTCACTTTCAAAGTGACTTTCTCTAGTACAAGTTACAAAAAATTATGTTAGCCCAAACATGCTTAGAAACAAAAAGTTACTTAAAAGCAGGTTTTATATTTTCTAAGCTCAGGCCAATATGCACTAGATTTTGGCACAAATCCAACTATAGAATCCAGGAAGGGTCCTAGAAATTTATTAGTGGTGTGAGTCGAGGACAAAATGGATGCTTGGGAAGAAAGAAGATGGGACAGAAATACTCATAAAAATTCAGACAATATGCACTGTAATCAACATACCACACTAACGCAATCAGCATCGAATACATAATATCGGAGAGTAATCTCACTAGTTGCACCCTGCAAGAGTTCATTTCGGAAGTCGCCTGTCAGATACGTGGCAACTCGCTTTCCATCAAGAAAAGCCTGCAGAAAGTAAAGATGTTTTAGATGGAAAAAAAGAAAGAAAAAAGAAAAAAGGCTCCAATGGAACTTGATAATACATTGTGTTGACACACTAAAAGTGCAGCCCAAATTAAATGGCCCAAAGAGCGAAGTTCAGTTGGGAATCCAAGATGAAAGCCCAAGCAAAGGGTATTATTGAAGAATATAAAATCCCACAAACAAAGGAACGCCTTCCCCCAAGCTTGCAGAACGCCCAGATGTTGAGCGAATAAAGTACCCTATGGACGCCCAGAGCGAAGGAGTCGTCGTCCAAATTGCTGGGTCGCCCAGAATCCTAGCGATGGCTAAACCCTGTTGTTATCTAAAGTTACGATTTGAGGCGGTTTGAGCACATCACGATTACATCTCACGATTTGAGAAAATCAGTGACAAGCGGTTATGAAGAAAACGTGGTGGTAGGAGTTACAAATGGTAGTTATTGGCCAGTCAGTCACTATGAAAGAAATGGGTAGTTACAAACAGAGTCCTAACGGTTAAGAACTACCCAATGAGTATAAAAGGAAGATGAAAGCAATGAAGAAAGTCCCGACAAAATTCACTCTCAAATAGAGAATATGTAATTTACTTTTTCTTAGATTAATTTTGATTAATTCATCTCCTTGTACTTGTGTGCTTGCGTCCATTGGAGGCATCTTGTTCATATCCAAACTGTAATCTTCATATTCGATAAACACTCCTTTTTGAGACTTTGTTCCAAGAGGTTTATTCCTTACACAATCGTCCGATCCTCTTTTAATTGTTAGCGAGTAACCACGCGAAACACATTGTAAAGCCAATAAGAGAGAGGCATACACTTCTGAAGGCGTGGAAAATATATGCTATTCCTAGAAGAAGCAATCTCTAACGGGTTGAGAATATCATAAAAAAATTGAAGGTCTACGAGTACCATGATCAGAAGATAAGAACATGCAGACTTTCTTGAGGATTACATACGAGGTGCCTACATATATAGATGCTGATCTTACTGCATTACATGTATCACTCATGATTTTAGCAGATACCTACCCCACCCCCACTCTCACACTCACACTCACACTCACACTTACCCCCACCAGCGAGGTGTTAGTGTGGATGTGTCACCTCTTCTTTAGCAGCTCTATCAACACTAGATGGTTTGTGCTCTTAAATATATGGAGTCACCGTGGAAAGTTCCATTCAAAACATTTTCATTATCGGACATTTTATGCTCATCAGGGTCACATCATCCACCAGTCATATCGACAGAAATTTAGGTCTAGGTACTTGTGCAACAATAACAGCATTATCATCAATAGCAAGACGACTCGCTATAAGATTGGTGCTAATTTTTATACAACCGGAATTTTATGCTACAGCTTATATTACTAATTTTTGTTTTCTAAGGAGAAGTTACTGTTTCACGTGAAAGCATATAAATTATTTCAGCGCTAGAGTTCAATACATGAAATATATTCACTCAAGATGCTAAGTGGATAATCAGACAAGCATTTCACCGTCTATCTCATAGCAAATAACGATATAAGAGGAAATCTATGTTCAATAAGATTCTGGAGGTGACGACATTTCTGTACCTTTAAAGGACGCAATACCCCTGCAGCATATGGTGAATGCCTAATATAGAGCATATTCGGCTAAGCTTGAAAGGTGCTCAAGCACCTTATAAACATGCTAATAAAGTCCAAGGAAGCTTATTAAAGTGAAAAATTGGATAAAGATGGCATACCTCGACCCACTTTTCAACTAATGTTTTTATTATTCAATTCATTACAAGTGGCGGAAGAACTTCCAGGGAATTGCCGCCCTGCAAAATACTCTGCCTTACAAGATCAGGCACTTCAGGGGAACATGATATAAGAGGCTCAAGCACATTCCCCAGGTAACCGCTGCAAATTTCCTCCACCAGACAATTTAGATCATGATTTATCTGTTAAAGAACTGTACTTCTTAAATATAGCGTGTTTGTCACAAATTGCATAAGGCATCAAATTAACAGTGAACTGAAAGTTACAAATGCCATGTTCGTCTTTCTGTATTTCAGGAGATCAGGAGAGGGTAAACTGAAAGAAAAAAAGAAAATTCAGACAAAAAATATTCAAGATTGCAACGATTGAAAATAAAGTTCAAAGAGAAAAAACCACTTAGCAGTTAGTACCAATGGCAAAATTGGCAGTAAATGGTGAAAATAGAATTATAATCACAGCCAATGTATTATTGTTGGACCTAACACAACAAAAGGCTTTCATATTCACAAAAAATCAGCATGTTGAAAAACGATAATTGTAGCGAAACCACAAGTCCATGCCACTTACAACTATTCAACAATCTCGTGTCAACTGAATAAAAAGATACAATAACACCAAGTAAACCATATCAACATAAGTAGTAATTAAACCAGAAATTTTCACTAATGGGGAGTGATGGCCACACGTAAATATTATAAAACATTTCTACTGTCTGTCTTTAGAATTCTGGGTGAATACAAAAATGTACCACATTTGATTAGAGGATGAAGGTTGAGACTTAAACCATATCCCAAAGTAAATATAAAATGACTAGTTCCAATTCCACAAGTAGGGAAAATAAAATAGTAAAATCCTGAATCTGGGTGGGTCAAGGGTACCCATGGGCTCCAAGGCCCCAATGATATGATAATTTAGAGCTCTAAAACAAGACACACAATGTGGGGGCAAGGGGGAAGAGCACGAACTAGATGCAAAATTCAGCCACCTCCAGCAAGTTCAAGGAAAATTGGCATTTCTTATTACCCTCACCCTCACCCTCACCCTCACCCTCACCCCCACTCCCCACCCCTTCACTGTATGATTTTTTTCGAACTCTTCGAAAATCAAGCTTCTCTTCCACTTGCATCAGCTCTAGATGAATGATAAGACGTTGCATAAGCCAAATTCTCCTTTTCCACCAAATATGATTTCCTGCAAGCATTTTCTCACTCCCCGCTCTCTCTCTCCAGGGAGTAAGGAGATCTCCCTTGCCTTCATTTGCACTTTCATGCTCTGTCTTATGTCTCACATTTTTACGTGTCTCAATAATGATGGTTTCACATACGCCATTCTGATACTTAAGTGTGTCTTCCTGAGTGGCATATGAAAACTTGCATGATTGTATCACCGAAATGAACCTACATCTCTCTAATTGGAAAATATTAATCAATCATGCCAAACAAACCGTGGATAATTTTTCAGTCACTTGCTAATTATTGATATTTTTTAGGCAATTTTATTCGTAGAAAGATGTAATTAATACGCATTAATAATCATATGAGACAAATTTTAGATAAACATGAAGATAATCCTTAAATGGTAAGAAAGAGAATTATAATACATCTATAGAAGGGAAGTGGACCGGATAAGAACTCTTTGACAATTCATTTTGCACAGACAAATTATACAGATGGTGTGAGAAATGAGATACATACATACAGCAAATCTTCTGGGGTAGCAGAAATAGCACACTCAGATCAAGATTTGGAACCTGAGTTACTGGCTTTGCGAGCATCCAGTCCAACTGACAACCAGTTTGAGAATCTGTAATGAAAATACAGTTCAAGATTCTGATACGTCAATATGGCAATTAGCAAGTCAAATCGTCACACAGATTTGTATTTCTAAACCCATCCAACAATGAAAGTAAGCTAACCGTGAAAGAAGTTGCAAAAATAGGCTTAAAAACTTGTCAGAGCAAGAAAGGACAAGAACATCATCTCTCCAGCATGATCTCAAGCAATCCAAAAGAGAGATACTTTGCTTTAATACTATGTTTAAAGGATGTCCCTGATCTGAGGATAAGTTTTGAGAGGGCTGTAAGTGCAGTAACTATATAAGTGCAGATTCCAGTGTCCCCGCAATTTCCTGAAATCTAAGGCATTTAATTCATATAAGTAGTTCTATCTCCAGGTTACACTCATTTATTACTTAATCACCTTCCTAAGATTAAAGAGGACAAGCAGACTTAGTTATGGACTTGTATATCAGATCATGATGAGTACCTGAATGTGAAATAGACTCCAGTATTCCATTGCTTCATGAATTCCATATAGACTGCTTCTTCCCGAGATTTAGAAATTGCAAATCTAGAGGGACAGAGACCTAGCATGACTATGTAGAGTGTTACAGTAAGACATATGTAAATGAGAAAATAGTTAATGAGCCAACAACAAATGTGAATGTAGAATGTGTTGAAGGTTCCTCCACTACCTTCCAAGTAAGCCAAGAAATTTGGGCTTGCTTTGTAATTTTTTAGGAACTCAGGGGGTCTTCCAGGAGAGAGAGCCCCTGGTTTTCCTTTCTGGATAGCTGATAGAACCTCTCTGAGAACAAAATTGGCCAGAAAGCTGAATACATGTAGACCCGAATTTTCTGCACATAACAGGAATTCTACTAGTATCTAAATAAATGTCTTATTTCTAATGAGAACAACAAACCAAGACTTGTTCCCTTTTTGTAGTTGGCTGCATGAATCCCGTGTCACCACTTTGTTCGTTAATAGCTGCATCTCTCAAAAAATTCACTGAAATCACATAATTTGCTACCACAACATATTCATATTAGTTGTGGTCTCCCTATTGAAAAGCGTTGTCTCCCTCTGTGAAATGTTCTATTGGAATCAAATCACTCTAGATTCTACAGCTGCTGTTTTCAGATTTGTTGAGGCTCGAACCTTTGATCTATGATGTGCTCCCAAAATTGGCTTAAAATCGTGTCTCTGCTGGACCCCTTTTTCTTAATGGTGCACTTATTATGAGATGGTGACATGTGGGTTATTTCTAGCCCTTGGATTATTACCTTGGTGATGTGTGATATATATACTTGTACAGTGGAAGATATTTTCATTTCAGTTCTCTGCCTTTTGAGTTCTTCTTCTTCTGGGTTCTTCTGAGAGTTCCCTTTTCTTGTAGATTAGGGTTTGGTCCTTCGTGTTCTTCGTCTCTCATGATGAATTTGTAAAACTGAGATCATATTAGTTGTTAGCCTCTGTAATCTGTTATTTGAGCAATTGCTATGAAAATAAGGGTTTTCTTGTAATCGCAATTTCAATTGGCTATTGTGGGGTTTCTTTGTGATTCCCTTTAGATATGCAGTTCTGTGAGAAAGAGATAAGTGTTTTGTGCATTTCTCTTGTATTTGGAAGAATTATTTGTAACTTGTCATTTTGGATTTATTAGTGCAACTGAGCGAATATCCATTATTTGGATGCTTAACGGGGGATGTAGGCATTGGATTTGGTAGCCGAACCTCTGGGGCTTAGGCCGAAACAATTCTCTATGTTCAAATCTTTACTTTTCTGACTTGTTGATATTGTTGGAATCTTGTTTTAATATAGTATGTTTGGGCATTTTCAAGATTTTTTTTTTTTTTAAAAGGGGCTCGGCTCGTTCGGGCCTGCTCGGCTTGGGCTTTTTTGAGCCTAGCCACGAGCTGCCCGAATCGGCGAGCCATTTTGTCATCCCTAGTATTGGGGGAAGTTGTATAAAAAGTGGGCCTGCTTTCTTTCTTAAAAATGTGTGTTTTATAAAATAGGATTTCCAAATCTAGTTGGGGGAATTGCCCCACTAGACCTGTGGCTCCGACCATAACCAGAAGATTGTTCTCTCATTCAACAATGCCTATTTGTCTATTTGTTTGTCGACAGATCAACAATTGACTATGTTTTTTAGCTAGCCAAAGTTGTAATGTTAATGGAAGGAGGCCGCGACAATGCTTTTTGTTAAACCTCGAGGCCAATTCAGTCACTTTTGGATAAATAAAAGTCATCATCTCTTTCCGAACCTTCATTGAGGTAAGACAATTCGTATCATCTCGATGATTAAAAATTTGAATTGCGTCCAACTTTAAATTACCTCCTTAACAAAAAGGCGAGACAATAAATAGAATATAGATAATTAGAAGCCATGTTTTATTTTGCTTTTTGCCATTTGTAACAAATGCAAACGCTCTTTGCTACGTGTCTCTTGTAGCTCTTCTTTCTTTATAAGTGCATGCAATGCATAAAATATAACATATAATATCGTAACCATCACAACCACCACATCTGCTCCCTAAACTTCAACGTATTTCATTTATTACCACAAAAGCAAAATATATATTGTCATACCCTTTCAATTATATTTCCTCTTGTTCTTCCCTTTCGGTTGTTTTGCACACAAACTATAATCATTTTTTTTTTTTTTGGTGCACACTTTTATGTGAAATTAAACATCATCACAGAATCTGTTTTCATGACATTTAAAATTATTGAATACGTTCTTAATTGTATTATTGCTCCCAGAGAAGCGCAATATTACAAATATAAATATTCTATGAGAATATTTTGTTATCATTCCCAAAGAAGTACATTGCTCCGTATATTAATATTTTAGAATATTAGGCAATGGCTGTTGTGACAACTCCTTCCACTGGCATACTAGGTGGCGGTAGCAATGGCTTGGGTCCTTCGGGCATCAACACTGACATGAGTGATGCTGGGATTTTACTACCAAAAAACATCCTCTTCCCCTCCATTATCCTCGTGTTTTCGGTACTTGTTTACTGGTGGGCTTAAACAAGAAAGAGGAATGTTTCTTCAAGATCCATATCAGAAAGTGATTATGTGCAGAAATGAATATGCATGTGATTCTGTATTTTAAAACAAACCTTAATTTTTATTTTTTTCTTTTATGTACTTATGGGTTTGCAGTCTACTTTCTGTCTACTAGTCCACATGCATTATAATAACTGGAGTTTTGTTAATTTAATCCTATGGGTTTTTCATTAATTCTTCTCAGTCCCAGCCCCATATAATCTTACAGTTCCTTTCTCCATTTACAAAGTCAATTTGATATCTACCGGAAACTGCAACAGATCTCATCATATGGAAAGCTATAACCGTACAAGATAATCTTATATAAATAATCACGTCAACAAAATTCTCGAGAAACTCATTTAAATCTAAAATTAATAAGCTACCATCTCATTTATAGAAATAAATGTAACTTTTATGATCTTGAAAAACCCATTATCTACAGTTGACCCCAATGTACCATAATCCATCACGTCATCTAAGAGCTCATGCTAACCTTAATAGTACTTGAGAGCTCAGACAAACCGCATGTTCAGGGGGCAAAATATGACGAATGAGCAAACTGTGAGGCATGAAATGTCGAGAAAGCCATGTCTTACCTACTATGGGCCTTACGGCACACACTAGTGTACATCGAGTACTCAACTTCTTAATGGCATAAAGTGATGCCATCATGTGCCCCCTTATCGACAAGGTGAACGCTAGTGGTCGACAAACACCTTACCAACACCAACGTCATCAAATTCCATGTGCACCATGATTCTGAGCTATACCGTTATACGACCACTACCAAATACATACATGAGTGGGGACAACGTCTCAGCCATGCTCCACAATAAAACATAAATTATGTACGACCATTTCTCTGTATTCGCAAATGAATGTGTGACATCTTATGTTTGTATTCATAGAGATTATTCTAAATTCACAATAAGCAAAAATATAACGTTTATTTATTTGCTCGTCAGTTTATGGATAAATGAATTAAAATCTTGATCTTGTCAGTACACATTTCATATTATTTTTAGATAATTTCCCCATCCAAAAATCATCAGGGTATATCAAAGTTTGTATTCAACTCCCAATCCATTCTTATGGCCAGTTGATACACCCCAAAAATCTTTCTTCACACCAACCCCCAAACAAACTAATTATCTATTTAATTCTTTATTTTGTTAACACGGTGCTCCTAGAAAAGATAAATAATGTTATTTCTTCCACATAATCGAGTGAGAAGTGGTACACATAGACAAAGACAGTTTGATATAAAACTGCAGAAGATATCATCTATTATATGGAAAAATAGATTAGATCCCGCATGTCTTTAATAATGGAGAGGAAAAAATAAAGTACCTTGAATTTGGCCTACTTCACCAATAATCATTACAACTACATTTTCCATCTTCAAAATGGTGAAATCTCTTGGCATTTCTAGCAATGATTAGCGTACCAACTATTGTTGAGATGAACTTCTGTGCATTATGGCAATCGCCACAAACACGAAGATTATTAATTATTCGCAATTGGGATCGAGATGGAGAATTCAATAAAGCTTGGGCAGTAGCAAGTCTCTCGCTATGAGCCATAAGAGCTTCCTCCTTTGTTTCTTGGCCAACATCATGGAGCACAAATCTAGTATCGGGAGTGTTTGTTTTTTATTTGAGAATTGATTCTCAAATCAATTCTCATTTTCAACCACACTTTCTTCAATAAAATAATATTTCTCATCACATCAATAATTTTTTCTTCTTTTTCAACCACACATTTCCCATCATATCACTATTCAAAAATCAATTCTTCCCCCAAAAATCTCTACCAAACAGGCTCTAAGTTTCACATCTAAAGTCTAAAAAAGGCTTTTTACAGTAAATCAATTCTCATTTTCAACCACAGATTCTTATATAAAATAATATTTCTCATCACATCAATAATTTTTTCTTCTTTTTCAACCACACATTTCCCATCATATCACTATTCAAAAATCAATTCTTCCCCCAAAAATCTCTACCAAACAAATATATAACCAATAGCTTTCATATGATTCTTTAGCCCTCCAAGCAATGTTTTATTTTTATTTTTATAAGTAATCAGATAATTTTATTAATCAAAAAAATAATACATGGGAAATGTATTATCAATTTGGACAATACAGAAACGACATGAAATTAGGCAATCCTTCTATATGATTAGGAGCCGCATTATTAAACCAATTATACAAAGTCAGATAAAACAATTCTCTAATCTGCTCTATTGTCTTTTTATCTTCAAAACAGTGGCTATTCCTTTCTCTCCACACGCACCATACAAGGTATCCCGGAATAAGATCACATACAATCCTACTATCTTTATCGCGAAGTTTTCTCGTCCATGCCCTCAACACGTCTTCAAATCGCCTAGGCATCACCCAATCCAACTGTTGGAAAGCTAGAATACTGTTCCAAAGCTACCGAACACCCAAGCAATCTGTATATATGTTATTGATTAGGGTGAGATCGGTCGCCTACTCTATACTTGAAGACTGTACTCTTAACATCTAGAGGATTTTGATTACTCAATTTCTTTTTCTCCCCTTCAAGGTCAGAAGCTTTTATTGATATGAGGCCTGCCCTTGATTGATCATCCAATCGTGATGGATCAAGGAGCTCAACAAGCTCGGCACAACGGTCTCCGAGCACCTTATGTCCATGAATTCTGCAAAAATTCATTAATGTCTCCCAAATTTCTATACCTGGCTTGATAGGCATCTGTTCAATGAACGCCAAAGCTTCATCCAAGCATCCTGCACTTCCAAACAAGGCCACTACACTAACAAAATGCTCCATGGAGGGAGAAATTCCGTAATCCTTGTTCATTGATTTGAAGTGCAACATTCCCTCAACAATGTCACCTACGATACCACAAACAGAAAATACCTTAATAAACATTTGGCCATCAGGTTTTAGTCCACATCTTTTGAATTCTGTAAACAATTCAATAGAAGCTTCACCAAAACCATTATTAGCAAGCCAAGATATCATGATTTCCCAAGAAGTCAGGTTACGTTTTGGCATTTGATCAAAGATCACAAAGGCATCATTCATGGCACCACATTTGGAATACATCTCAAGAATCTTATTGTTTGTTTTGACTTCAAGATTTGGCATTGATCTCATAAGGTGCTCTTGACCATATTTGGCCTCTTCTAAAGCTTTATTCTCACCAAAGGCCTCCATCAACATTACATATCAAGGCAATCAACTGGGAAATGCTGCAGCTCTAGCAATTCTAAAAGTTTTGCCGCTTCGTTTAGTTTTCCCTCTTTGCAGAATCCATCGAGTAATCCTAAAAGATTTGTTGTTGATTTAATGAAGTACTCAGAGACAGATTTAACCTCTTGTAAAGCTTTATTCTCAATACATGCCTTCTTCAACATTACATATCGAGAAAAATCCTCTGGGACATGCTGCTGCTGTAGCAACCCTAAATGTTTTACTGCTTCTTTTAGTTTTCCCTCTTTGCAGAATTCATCGAGCTGCTTGATATCAGCAACTTCAACCAATTTCTCGTTCTTTCTTAAATCATTTGTTATTTGAGAAACAACCATTCCTCTGTTCCGGGAGTCATTCTGATTCTGCCAATAGTTTCGTGCATTAGAATAATTAACTTCACTTTCATTTTGCTGATACACTCTGGCATTATGTACACTCTGCTGGTTAATTCCTGTTTTTCCAGCATAATAGCCTCCCGAATTCTGCTGCGATATTTCATTTTGTCCCCCGTAGAAACCACTTGAGCTCTGCTGAGACTGCCCACTCATGGAATCAAAACCGCCTTGAAAAATTCCTGTGTTTCCAGCATAATGGCCTTTTGAATTCTGCTGCGACATTCCATATTGTCCCTCATAGATACCACTTGATCTCTGTTGAGACTGCCCACTCATGGAATCCAAACCACCTTGCAACATCCATAACGACTTGAACTCTGCTGCAACTTCCCACTCATGGATTCTAAACTGCTCTGTCCATAAACTTCACTATGATGTTTCTTTAAAGTTCCCGAACCATCTGACACGACCTCATTAAACCCAATAACATGGTTAAAATCATCTCCATTCACATAATTAGCATTTAAAAATCCGATCTTTCAGTAGCAGTGCTGAGGTTCCTAGCAAAAGAAAAGGGCTTTATCGATTCCACACAACAACGGGATCTTGTATCACATACCTTCAACAAACTCCTGAGAGAGATGAAGATGACAAGTGTTTCTCTTTTGCTGTACATCCCTGTGCAGACTCATGAGGTACAACTCAGCTGTTCAAAATACCAGCAGTCACAATTTTAACTTTTTTATCTTCAATTAAACTACCATCCATGTAACTTAAACAAGTAAGAAAAATTCAAAAAAGGGGTAAAAAATCAACAACTAAATCCCTAAATCCAAAACATAACCGAAAAAAAATAGCACCAAATTCATTGCAGAAACGGAAAAATCCAAATCAAGTAAAGAAATGGAAGAGAAAAAGAAGCTACCTTCGACACAAGGTAGACAAAGAGAGTACTGTAGAGAGGATACAGACAGGGGCGGAGCCAAGTATATTGTTCAGTGCGGGCACAATTTAATCAACTCCAAACTTTGAGTTTTTGGCCATGAATTTAATGATGATAAAAATATAAAACAATATTACGACTATACTAAAAATGATATTGTTTATAAATTACACTAGTTCCTTGTGAGTTTTCTTACTTCGATATCGTTATGCAATTACACTGGGGTTTTTTTCCTTTTTCAAGGTTTTCTTTTTCTGAACTTAACTACTGGGATCCAGAGGAGGTGATTTGGGCTTGTTTACATGATTCTGTGTCTTTAGTGACTTTTGGAAGACAAAGGAGAGGGGCAACACCAGAATCCCTCTCGGATCATAGCAATTGAAACATTTTTTATCTTAGTTTGACCATGTTCTACTCTTGTAAGTCTGATTTCGGCAAGAAATTCAACCTCTAAGTCAATTTTTGGCTCTTACAAACGAAAAAAAGAATATGGAAGAATTCCAACAAACATTTACTTCTACCCAAATTAAACAACTTCTCTGTCATCAATTAAGATAAAGAACAAAGGTCTAATTTTGAATTTAAACATCGGTCCTCTCACAGAAACTCTGTAATTGACTGATTGTATATCTAATTAGGTATTAATTACGCCGTGCTCAAATCCATCCAGAAACATAGGCGGATAAACCATTCCCTTCTGTCTAAATTTTTTTTCTCTTCTTAAAAATTTTATTAGTAAAATATTTTCGTTTGATATTGTATTTTACGCAACAGTTATCAATTTTGAGCGATTCAAAAATTTGTTAGAAGCTTGCAACGCGATCATAGTAAATATGTTATGGACGATATTTAAAAATAAAAAATCATCTTACATAAATTATTAAATGTAAAACTATGATTATTGATTTTTCTTTTTATTTTTTCCTAATCGAAATCAATGTAAAAATTTATGAAGTTTAAACCATGATTATTAAGTTCATTTCTTGAGACCATTTTTGACTAGTTATTATGAACTATTTGCTTATTAATTTTAAATTCGAAAGATGTATTTTAATTAATCATTTATTAATTTTAAATTCGAAAGATGTATTGCAAAATGTGTTGTGAATACTTCGATAAGATAACAAAAACCTCACCCGAAGAGTGAAGAAACATAGTTATTAGATAAAGAATTATTGTACTTGTACATCAAAAAATATACATAAGGTGTACACCCCCTCACATGGGGGTGGAACCCACTTGTATAAAATATTTTTTATTCAAACGGGTCCCACCCTCATGTACATGGTGATGTACCACTAGCAAAATCGATAAATAAATCAAAAGTTATTTTTCCTACATAAATAAAAGAGTCACTCTTTTTTAACTGTTCATAAGTCGAGCCGAGTCAAATGGCTCGACAACTCGGCTCGGCTCGGCTAAACCCTTTTTTTATTTTTACGTTTGATTCAATATTTTAAGTTACAAATATTCGTTTTAAGCAATTTAAATTTTTTTAGAAATGTTGAAATGCGAATATGATAAATATATGATCGATAAATTTTAAATATCAAAAATAATTTTACATTGATTGTGAGACGTAAAATCGTAATTGTTTATATTTCTTTTCAATCCCAACCCCATTCCAACGTCCTTTTTTCGAACTTTATTTTCTTACAATTTTTCGTTTGATTCGATATTTCACGATATGAATATCCATTTGGATCGATTTAATTTTTTTTTAAAAAAAACTTAAAATGTGATAATAATAAAAAAAATTCGATTAAGTTTAAATATAAAAATTATCTTAAATTATTAAACGTAAAATCATAATCGTTAATTTTTCTTTTCTACCCCACCCTCAACCCCCATACTCACACCAATTTCTTTCAATTTCATTTTTCTTCAGTTTTTACGGTTAAAAATGGTAAATTTATGACGTCAAA